CACCAGAAAGTTACACTTATTAATAATAGTGTTTTAATTAAGATTACAGATATTTGTTTTTATCTGTCTAATCAGCAAGAACAAAAACCTGATGGTACACCAAGTTGGAGCTGTGGGGAAACCAGCACATGCACAGTCACGCCATGTCTTGAGAATGTAGTCTAGCAATACAATCACAAGCTAAAATAGCAGAACTTTTAAATCACATTTAGGGGTTTCTCCTGCTGAGGCAGTCAGAGAAGTGAGAGATGAGGTACAAGTAGGCTTAAAGCACTCTTGTCTATCATAGCCAATAAGCAACAATAGGAAGAACAAGCTACAAACCCACAGTGGACTACCTTAATAAACATAATAAATACGGTACATTCAGTGAGACAGTCAACACTGACTTAAAAAGGATAATGTCCATGTATGTGTCTTGCAAAATGATTACAACAAATGATTAAGTTTTTCAAAAAAGAAACATTCTTGAGTGTTATTTCCTACTATTTGTGTTAAAAAGAGGAAGGTATACATACACATATGCTTATTTTAAAATAGAATATGCATTCTTTTTTTTTTTTTTTTTTTAGAATATGCATTCTTAAGAAACTGTCTCTGAGGATGTAGCCATGCTTAGGGGTCAAAGGAAACTTAGCCCCACAGCTTCCATATTGTACTTAACCACATTTCTACTTTGCACTGGAGAAAACCTATGCTTCCCTCAGCAAGCAGCTCTCATTAATCATTTAAACCAGCAGCACAAGGTTGATTTGCCCCAAACTTCCCTAATCTCCCTCCTCCCCCATTCAAGACATGCAAATCAATAGACCACGTTTCACCAACCATTTCTTCCAAGGATAAAAGGAGCTTGAACCTGGCTTCAGAAGACAGGATTTCAGGATGCTAGTCCACCGACTTCTCTGTCTTGGGGGTTACAGAATAAATCTTTCTTGCTACAAGATTTGTCCTTAATTCACTGGGCACTTTGGGACAGGTCAGTAAGTAGACTTGGGCTCAGTAACAAGAAAAATCAGAGAGCAGAGGATGGGGAAAAGGAGGAGGATTTTTCACTGTGTACCTTAAGGGTTGTTTGAATTAGTATTTTAAATTTTGATACATCCAAGAATTACCTCTAAAAATTATTTTAAAACAATACTTAATCTGTGCAAGAAGTACTTAAAAACATCTTTTTTAAAGGAGAGAAGTAGGGTGCACCCACAACCCCTGTGGTCCTCTCTCCTCCCTTCCTGTTGTCCTGTTCTGTACAGTCCTCTCCACTGTGGCCAAAACCCACCCCACCTCACACAGCTTAGGACCAGCACTTGCATGAAAAAGCCACATGGCCCCAACTACTTTACCAATGGACCAATTCCATGTGCCAACTCCATACTTCCCTAAAAGTTGGGATAGCACATGGAACTCCATCTTGAGAGAATCTCTGAACAGTGTGGTCTGAGGTTGGGTAGGCCTCCTGTGGCCTCCTGTGGCCTGGTTTCAACCCTGGGACAGTTCCCACATCCTGCTTCTTTGGGCCACATTTTGAGCATATACCTACCAGTCTTCCCCATCACCTAGGTCTTTCACGTGAACATTAAGGGAGCCAAGTGAAATACAACTGCTGTGATTTGAATGTGTCTCCAAAATGCCACGGATTGGAAACTTAGCCCCCAAAGCCATGTGTTAATGGTATCATGAGGGCTCTGCTCTGATGAATGAACAAGCCCACTTGTTGATCAAAGGTGTAGTGGGTATCACAGTAGTGGCTCTGTTACACAGGCAGCTCTCTGGTGAACTTGCTCTGCCACACTGCAGCTTGGTCCTTGTCTCAAGACAAGATGTCCCTCACCAGGTACCAACTTGAACCTCTCAGCCTCCAGAAACATGAGCTAAATGAGCATCTATTCTTTATAAATTACCCAGTCTGTGGTACTTTGTTATAGCAACAGAAAACAGACTAAGACACCAACTTCCTCTAGACCACTGTTCCCTACCCTTGACTAAATTGCAATGGTATTGGTGATCCAGGTGTCCCAGCTTCAGCTGGGGGGCAGAAAGAGATAGGAATAGGGCTGATATCTAAGGGATGTGTGGGGTAAGGTAACAGTTGGAGGGGGAAAACTGAGTCCTGAGCATGAGCGAGCAGAACTTAGGGGAACCTGACCAAAAGCCCTGCTGCACCCTACAGTGTTCACCTGCACCCATATCCTCATGCAGCTTAGGACCAGCACTTGCATGAAAAAGCCACATGGCCCCAACTACTTTACCAATGGACCAATTCCATGTGCCAACTCCATACTTCCCTAAAAGTTGGGATAGCACATGGAACTCCATCTTGAGAGAATCTCTGAACAGTGTGGTCTGAGGTTGGGTCTCTGACCTGACTACAGTCCAGTGGTTAAAAGCAGTGGCCAGAAAACTGCACCACCTGATGGCAGATTCTTCACTTCCTTGAGGTGCAGCCCTGGGCAATTTTCTTCCTGTCTCTGAGCCTCAGTTTTCTCATCTGTGAAATGGGACAGCAATAGCATAGACCTGACAGCTTGCTATGAAGATCCTTTGTGTTATTACTGTATTTAAGGAGCTCAAAGGAGGGTCTGATATATAGTACATGCTCAACAAATGCCAATTATTTTATGATCTATTGGCTTTTCAAAGACTTCTAATAAGATCATTTTATTACTTTAAGGATGAAAAAATAGATGATCACAATTTTCCCAGAGAGCAATAGTTTTTCTCCTATTTCCAGTTGCCAGGGTCTTTATTGATTTGAAAACCTTGGGATCTGCTTCCTGCTTTAGACCTCTTTGTGTGGTTCCCACAATGCATTGCCTGACAAATAGATACAGGGTGTAAGAAAAGCAAGTGAAAACTTTCCCGCAGGAGATACACTGTATCTCTGGTGACCACCTCTGGCAACCAGACCCAACCCCAAGTTCACCTGGGGATACTCCAAGATACCCACTCCCTCCCAAGGCCATACACCAGCTTTGGCCCTGATCTTCCTCTAGCAAATTCCATGCTCATGCCTTGCTCAGGCCTCAGGGGTTTTGTACTCACTGTTACCTTTGGCTGGAATCTTCTTCCTGACAGTACATGTCCTCTTTCAGGTCTCTGCTCAAATGTCACCTCTTCCAGGCCTGTGCTAATCACTCTAGAGAACAGAGCAGCCCCTGTCACCTTCAAACCTCTCTAGCTGCTTTTTCTTCTTGGCATTTATCTGACATGACATAAACAGTGTTGCTTATTTTCCATTTCTCCCCACCAGAAAATAAGGCCAACGTGGAGAAGGACTATCTTGTCTAATAATGTGCCTTTTAAACCTGGAATAGTGCCTAGAACATACAGACCATCAATTAATGTTTGATGAATGAAGAAATGAATGAACGAGAGAGACAACACAGCAAGTCTCCTGTGAGACACAGATTTCTGCCTCTGATTTAAGCCTCCCAAAAAGAAATACTCTCAGGGATGCTCACCATTTATCACTGCTCACAGAATCCTTATAGGAAGCTTATACATAACTCCCTGTCTCTATCCTGGGCTCCCGGATTTTCAGGCCCTGAAAATGGTACCAGTTCCCTCACCTCACTTAGAAAGTCCTCTTGCACCAGGCATAGTGGTGCACATTTCCAGTAATTCCAGCACTCTGGGAGCCTGAGCCAGGAGGCTAGCAAGTTTGAGCCCAACCCGAGCAATTTATCAATTTAAAGAGATCCTGTCTCAAAATAAAAAATAAAAGTCTGGGGATGTAGCTCAGTGTGAAGGCCCTGGGTTCTATCCCAGTACTGCAAAACAAACAAAAAAGCAACAACACACACACAAGTCTGTTTGCAACCCTTTCTTGATAAGGGCCAGTTTCTCTTATTTGTTTCATCATTTTTGTTCTTGTTTTTACAGCACATAGCATTCTCTGAAATGGTGTGATTCATCTGCTCATTTGCTTATTTTCTCTCCTACAACCCCTACATAAATGAGAGCTGGGTATTCCAGGTGCCTGCACACCTGACTGTGATTGGCACTCAGTAACTATCTGTTGAATAAATGAAGGAAGAAATGACGCTTCTTACCCCCTCCAAATACAGGAAATGGAAGTGTCAGGAAGAAAAGAATGAATCACGGCATTCCCTGCCGTCCAAACTTGACCTTGGCTCTCCAGTAGAGGGGCTCACAGACATCCAATTAAATGCTAATTACATTCAATCAGCGCTGGGCTGGGGAAGGAGCCTGGCTAATGAGGTTCAAGGGCAGGTGGACCTGCAGCTGCAGGGACTTGTGTGATCCTGGCCTCCTGACCTAGACATATGGGCCATAGACACAGAGGTGTGTGACCACATTGATCAGGGCAGCAAAATCCATCCTGTGGCCAGGTAAAATCCAACTGAGAATGCTCACCCCTGGCTCCCTCCTCACGGAAAGGACAAGGCCCTAGATTCAATTCTAGGGCCAAAAAGGGAGGGATTTATCAGCTGAGCAGACACTGTTTACCTTCCCAGGAATGCCTGATGCTTTCTGGCCAGACACACCTAGAAGGGCCAAGGACAGGGGCATATGCACTCACCAGGGGCAAGGAGAGCTTGGATCTCCATACTCAGGGAAGTTCTGGGGTGCAGCTCACCAGCTCCTACCAAGCAGGGCCTAGCTGGTCATGCACACCAGCCCTCAGTGTCCCCTGGTTCTGATACTGATAACTTCATGAGCTCCCTGCTCTGTTGCGGGGCCTTGATACACAAACCCACCACCCCGGCTGCGCAAGGCCCCGCACTCACTCTCTCAGTGGAGCGCAGCCAAGCCTCCCTGACTGCCCCAGTCCCTACCATCTGGTTAGGCTGGTTGTTAGGGTCTCCTGGTTGCTCCTGGCCCTCCTGAAACCCCTTTCCAGCTCCAGGCCCACTGTCCTCAGCATCTGGGCCACACAGCAGCTCCACAGGTGCTCACTGACAGCTCCGTCACAGTCAAGCGGGGTGAGGGGAGACATCTCCGGCTCAGCCCCAAGCCCTACCTTTCCCACGTGCCCTTACCCCTTTCCCGCAGGCATCCGGCTCCGGCCTTCCGCCGGCCCGGGCGCCCCATGGCTCCGCGCCCAGGCGGCGGCTGCGCGGGGCCCGTGCAACCCAGGCTCGAAGGAGGTCTGGGTTTCCGGGAGGGCGGGGTCCACGCGGGGCGGGGAGAGGCGGGGCGCGTGCGAAGCCGTCCGACTGGTCCGACCGCCAGCGCGCTGGGCTGGGTGCCTGGCACCTCCTGCAGTCCCTGCGCCTGCCTGCGTGCACCCGAGCGGCTGGCACCCCTGGCCCTCGCCAGTATGTTTTTCCAGAGCATAACCGCGAAAATGAGCCCAGAGCCAGAGACGTGCCCAATTTGAACAAGGCAATAACTGAAGGTCCTGACGGCAATATCCAGCTTCAGTATTTCTGTTAACTATGTAAAGCACCATATGTGAAAATCTGAGTTAAGTGATTCTGTACTTCCTGTAGACCCAGTAAAATTTTAGCTCCCCAGAAAGTAGTAACTTGAAAAAGTCCATCTCTTAAATGCCTATAGTGAGTTGATCTCGTGTTCTCTGAGGAACAACCACAACATCTAATACTGATTGAATGCTGTGTGCTAGGTCCTAAGCTCTCCATCCCTCTTTCTTAACGATTTTGATTCTCACAACAATCCTATGAAATAGGAAGCTTTTCACCTAAAGTGGAAACTGAGGCACAAAGGAGTTAAGTAACCTGACTGAGCTCACGGAATGAGACAGAACCTAAAGGCCGTGCTCTAAATCACTGGGCCAGGCTGCCATTGTGTCTGTTAAGATGGGAGCCTGGTGCTAGGCCAGTCATCTTTATTTGTTCACTTTATGAATATTCACTGTGCACGTGCTGAATGTATGCAGGCACTGGCTAGGCACTGTGAGACAGAATGATGAACCAAACATAAGGAAAGCTACAGCCTACAGGGCAGAGAGCAGTAATGTGATTGACATAAAGATGCTGGAGGCAGAGGGTGCTTCCTGGAAGGGAAAATCCTAGAAATGAAGAGATCACAAAGGGGAGAGGCACCATGTGTGCACACAAACACCTTTCAAATCTTCAGTGGACTCCTGAACACACACACATGGGACAGGAGTTCAAATAACCCAAAGGAAAACAATAGTGAGCACAGATTTGCACCCTTAGTTGTAGATTGCTAGGGAATGGAGTTTAAACCTTGCCATTGTAAAGGGGCTTTGGAAACTGTTGAGCCTTTCCATTGAAACCCTATAATGATCATACATAAGGAAGAAAGACTGCTCAGAATGAGAGGCAATACCCTAGAATTAGGGTTGAAACTAAAAGGAATTCATCCAAAATATAAAACCAATATGAGCTTCCAATGGTTTAATTTCCTGTTAGAACAGAGCTTGACCTTCTTCAGAGGGAAATAATAACAGAATTTAGAGCACTTAAAATGAATCATTTACATTGTTCTTCTTATAACACAAAATTACTAGACATTCAAAGAATCAGAAAAATGTGGATCATAGATGAGAGGAAAGACAACCAACAACTGTCAAATGAAATAAGTAATTAAGGGCTAAGGAATTAAAAACAAAACTATGCTAAATATGATAAAGAACCTATAGGGGAAAATAAAACATACTGAGTCAAAAGATCAAGAATTTCAGGAGAAATAGTACAATCATTTTATATAATAAGTATCAAATGGAATATAAATAAATCTGCTCCAGTGAGGATTGTCTCTTATCTTTATTACCCTGGAATGTAAAGACACCTCAATCTTTGCCCTCCAGAGCAAAGGCTGGGCAGGTTTTCCATTGGCCGCTAAATAAGATCAGTGCTTCCTACTATTGGGCTCCTCTCCTATAATGTACTCCTCCACATATGACACTAGTCATGCCCTGTGTTCACTTTCTGACAGAGGACCTCAGAAAAAAGCCTATAAGGAGGAAATTTTTATTTTAGCTCACAATTTCCGAGATTTCACTTATGATCACGTGGCCTTGTTGCTTTGGGCTTGCAGTGAAGTGAGGCATTATGGTGGGCAGCACGTGCCCCATGAGCTTGTTCACCTCATGGCACCTGGGAAACAAAAGAGAGAGACAAGAAGGGACCAGGGTCCCAATATCTCCTTCAAGGACATGCCCTCAATTGCTTCACTACTTTCGTTGGGCCCCACCTCCTAGAGGTTCTACTACCTCCCAATAGCACTCCAGGTTGGTGACCAAGTCTTTAGCATAAAGGGACTTTTAGGATCCAAATCATAACACAACATCTTGTGGAAATGGGCTCAGGGAGACTAAGCGGCACATTATTCTGCCATCGGTGTAATAAACTGTCTTCAACTGTCTCTGCTCAGAACCTATGATGTTTCAGCAGGTTAACAGTCAGTTTGTCAGCAGAATAAAGACTTAGACCCTTTCATAGCTACTGACTGAACAAAGATAAAGGGAAAAATTCTTAAGAGCACTCAGAGAAAAATATACATTACATTCAGGAAGGATGACCAACTTCTCATCAGAAGCTTCATTAGCTAGAAGACACTGCAATGCTATCTTTCAAGTGCTGAAAGAAAAATCTAATTTTTCAATTTATTATGCTCTATGTATTAATTTTTGTTTAAATAAAAAGTAAGACATTTTCATGTAAACAAAATCTGGCAGTATTACAGTAAAAGTAAATAAATTTTTCAAAGTGAAGGGAATGATACAAAATAAAAATTAGAATCTACAGCAAAAGAATGAAGAGCCCTGAGGTGATAAATCTAAAGAACTTTTTTCTTGTATTAAACTTTTAAAAAGTCATTATTTAAAGCAAAAATATAACATATTGTGAGATATTAACATATACAGAAGCAAAATATATAATAAGCACAGAAGAGAACAATAGATGGAAGTGTATTACTGTACAATTCTGTGAAATTTTGTATTTGTTCAGAAGAAAATCCAGTAGTGAACATAAAAATAATCACTAACAAATAACTAACCCCCCCAAAATCAGGAAAGTAAGAAAAATAAACAAAAAACAGAAGGGCCATATAAGACAAATAGTAAGATAGAAAATTTATCAATAATGACATTTAATACCCCAATTAAAAGGTAGAGCTGTCAAAGACGCTAAGAAAATAAGACAAAACTAAACTGTTTATGAGACATACACTTTAAATATAAAAATGCAGACTCCTTAAAAGCGAAAATATGAGGAAACTATAGTATATAATATTTAATTTTAGACATAGACTTTATTATGAGGTTATTACCAGAAATTAAAAAGGTCACTTAAAATGGACAAAATGATCAATTTATCACAAAGACATAACAATGCTGAATGTGTATAAACATAACAACAAAATTTCCAAATACCTCCAATAAAAAATGTCAGAGCCAAAGACACAAATAGAAAATCCACAATCATAGTTGGACAATTTAAAACTCCTTCCTCAGAATTAATAAACAAATACACAAAAAGTCAGTAAGGATACAGATGATTTGAAAACACTATCATTTAACTTGACAAAATTAAGATTATAGAATATTATACCACCACTAGCAAGATACATATTCTTTTCAGATACACACTACACATTTGCCAAGAATGACTATACTGGACTAGAAGGGAATATCTAAACTTAAATGGATAAAATAATAAGATTATATTTTCTGATCTGATCACAATGGGATTAAATTAGCAATCAATAATAATATATAGAAAACTACACATATATGCGAAAATCAAGCAATACTTTTCTAAATAGCCTGTGGGTCAAAGAATAGATTGTAGGAAATATGATGAACTATTTCAAACTGAAATGACCTAAATATAAAAAATCAAAGTGACAGAATTAGAATATCCAAATCTAGATCAACATATCTTTTGACAAAAATGTCAAAGGCAATCCATGGAGAAAGTAAAGCCTTTTCAACAAATAGTGCTGGAACAGCTAGAAATCCATATGATTAAAAATGAATCCTAGGGCTTATATCTAACATATGTAAATAACTCATAATTTAATATGTATAGGGGGATAATCCAGGATGTTAGGGCGATCTGGCTGGAACATTTGTCACCCCATTGATTGCCAGGGTGTTGACTGGCTGATCTGGACAGCCAGGCAGGTGTCCCCTTCCTCCTTCACTACTCCATGTGTGTCCTCTCCCGAAGCTGTAAGCTCAAAGAGGATGACCACCCCCAAGAGTGGAGGACTGTTTCCTTCATTAAGGGTGTACAAGTAGCTGCGCTCCCTAGCTAGAACCTCCAAACAAGCTCTCAAGAGGGATAATCCAGTTTAGAAACTAGGTAATGAACCCAAACAGACATTTACCTAAGGAAGGTATACAAAAGGCCAATAAACACTTGACAAGATGACCAACATCGTTAGCAATCAAGGACGTACAAATCAAAACCAAAATAACACATCACTACAGTGGCTATAATTTGAAAAGACAGATAAAATGCTTGATGTTACAAGCCATTAGAGAAATGCAAATTAAAACAACACTGAGATTCCATTTTACCCCAGAAAGAATGGCCATCATCAAGAAATCATACAATAACAAATCCTGGTGAGTAGGAAAAAAGGAACCCTTCTACACTGTTGGTGGGAATGTAAATTAGTACAAACACTATGGAAATCAGTGTAGAGATTCCTCAAAATGCTAAAACTAAAAATTACATTCAGCCAGTTATTCTCCTTCTAGGTATCTTCCTGAAAGAGTTACAGACATCATATCATAGTGATACATGGATACCCATGTTTATAGCAACACAATTTATAATAGCTGTATCAGTTAGTATTTACTAGAGAAACAGATATAACACAAGATACACAAATATATAAGAATTTACAAGATTGGTTTACCATGGCCACCTATAGAGTCAGACAAGGAAGAGTCCAGAGAGTCTGTCTGCACACTGGAGACCTAAGGATTTAGTCGAAGGCCTGGAGCTCACTGCAGTTTTAGGAGGCCCATGGGTCTGTGCTGGAAGGCTGAAGAGTATGTCCGTCCGAAGGCTGAAGGATCCATGCTGGAAGGCAGAAGATGATGTGCAAGACAGGAACTCCTCCAAAGGAACAGGAGCAGTCACTTTCTTCCTCATTTCCCCTTTATAACACCCAGGCAAAGACAAGCAGCCCTAGGATGGATCTCCCATGCCCTA